CCTGACCCAAGCCATGGTGTTTTCAATAACCTCATAAGCATACGAAAGCTGGACAGTGAATAAGGAGACTGCAGAAGAACTGATGTCTTTGAGTTATGGTGTTGGAGGAGAATACTGAAAGTGCCATGCACTGCCAAATGAACCAACAAATCCATTTTGGAAGCGCAGCCAGAGTGCTCCTTGGAGGCCAAGATGGCCAAACTTCGTCTCTCATACTTTGGACATATTGTCAGGAGGGAGCAGTAGCTGGAGAAGGATATCATGTTTGGTAAGTTGGAGGGTCAGAGAAAAAGAGGAAAATCCCCAATGAGATGGATTAACCAAGTGGCAGCATCGATGGACTCAAGTGTGACAACAGTAGTGAGGTTGGCCCAGGATCGGGCAGTGTTTCATTCTGCTGTGCATAAGGTCGCTATGGGTTGGTACCAATTTGATGGCACCTAACAACAACAACAACAATATTTAAAGTCGGGCTGCACCTCAGAACTCTAAGTGTTGGCATGGGTTCCTAGCCATTGACACGGTCCACTGTTGAAAGAATGAACACATTATACCTAGATTCAGTCTACCCACTACGGCTCAGCTCCTGTGTCTGCTCTTCTCTGCTTTCTTTGCAAGTACTGCCATTACTCACCATGCATTGCCTTGCATCATCATGGACTGTCTGGGTACTCATATCTTCCAGAGACCATAAGCTCTAAGGACAGAAAGAATAAAACACATTCATAAGTGCTCTCCAAACTGCCAATGCTATCAAATATGTTCTGCAATAGTCTTAACACTGATTTTTTGCATTCTCCAATGTGCTGAGCACACTAACAAAAAACTAAGAACATCTTGAATTACATAAAAGTTCTCATTTAAATTTTTAAGTCTCTAATAACTATCTTGACTAGCAACAATCAGTGGCTGATAAGAATGAAAATTTCGGCATAACCCAACTCCAATTTGCAAAAAGGTTGAAGGAAAAATCATATTCCCTCTCTACACTCTAGTGTCCTTCATAGCATAATAACATAGTCAACTCTCAAACATAAAAATAACATTGAAATTAGCATTCGGATTCAAACACAATAACTTCTAAATGCAAATGATCATTCTCAGCCCTTCCCACAAAAGGATGTTGTAAACATGAATGACCTTCCAAATAACTTGCACTCCAGCACAATACTTAAAAAAACTCAAATTATTAAATACTAAAGTTTTTATGTAGAGACACCTCTTCCTTTAAAGTCTTTCTAGCCAAGTGGCTCATGAAAATAATTTCAGATTAGGTGTCTTTATCACTGTGTTGAATAAATGGTGTCCTGATGTGACGCTGTGGGTTAATGTACTATAACTGCAAAGTCGATTTAAACTGCAAGGTTGGAGGTTAAAGCTCACTAGCCACTCCTCGGAAACCCTATAGGGTCGCTATGGGTTGGAACCGACTTGATGGCACTTCACAACAACAACACATAAACACTACTGCCATAGAGTAGAATTCAGACTTAGTGTAACCCAAAAGAACATAATGTAACTGCCCCATGGGGTTTCCAAGGCTGTAGATCTTTACAGATGCAGACTGCCAGTGTCTTTCTCCCTCAAAGCAGCTGGTAGGTGCAAACCACTTAACCTTTTAGTTCACAGCCAAGTGCTTAGCCATTGTGCCACCAGGGTTCCGTGAATAAATAAAACAGCACTGAACTACAAACCAAAGGGATGGCAGTTCTGACCCACCAGCAGTTCCTCAGAAACCCTATACAGGGTGCCTTTGAGTCAGAACTGACTCCATGGCACTTAACAACAACACTCAACTCGACAGGGGTCCTGGTGTGGCACTACAGGATGATGCACTGGACCGCAAGGTCGGTTCAAACTGCAATGTAGGTTTGAACTCGACAAGGAGCTCTGATGGCGTAATGGGTTACATGTTCGGCTGCTAATCACTGATTCAGTAGTTCAAATCCACTAGCTGCTCTGCAGGAGAAAGATGAAACTTTCTACTCCTGTAAAGATTTACAGCCTCAGAAACCTTATATAACAGAATCGCTATGAGTCAAAACCGACTCAATGGCACACAACCACCACCACCATTCGACTTGATGACACTTAACAAGAATAACAGCAGTGACTAATGATAAACTAGGACCCAGACAGCTAACTTTACAATCACAGCCTACTTACCACCAACAGAATCTAACTCAAACTCCATGCTTGGCATTTAAGGCCACCACAGTCTGGATCCACCGTCTCCTTCCAGGCATATCGTCCATTACCTCCCTACAAAGCCCTTCTTGTTGTTGTTAAGTGTCACCAAGTCGATTCCAACTCATAGTGACCTTGTACAGGGTTTACCAGGAGCAGCTGGTGGATTTGAACCGCTAAACTTTTGGTTCTTTGCAGTTCAGTACTTATCCTACAAGGCACACCAGTTCAACAAAACCCTTAGCAGGGCAGATTTTCCCACCTGGTATGGCATGATAGGATAAGCACAAGGTTGGCAGTGCAAACCCACCTCAGAAACCCTTTACAGGGTAGAGATGAATCAACGGTTCTTAACAACACCAACACCATAACATATAAGACAGGGCTTCCAAAATTGGTGGAAAAAGGAGCTTTTGCACAAACTTTTTGAAGTCCCCTATGCTAGTGGTGGTGGTTATGTGCTGTGGAGTCGTGGAGTCGGAACTGACTCACAGCCACCCTTTACAGGGTTTCCGAGGCTGCAAATCTTTACGGGAGCAGAAAGCCTCCTCTTTCTCCCGCGGAACAGCTGGTAGTTTCTAACTGCTAACTTTAAGGCTGGCAGCCCGATTCGTAACCACTACGCTACCAGAGCCCCATATGTTATCAGCTGGTTTTTTTGCTCCCGGTTTTTTAAAAATCCCCTATGAAATTGCCCAGTTTGAAACTACCAGCGGATCTGCGGGAGAAAGATGAGGCATTCTGCTCCAATGAAGATTTACAGCCTCGGAAACACTGTGTAGGTCACTATGAGTCGGAACCGACTCCACGGCACATAACAAGCAGGCGTGGTGCTGTAAGATGAACAGTGGACTATCCGGTTGGCTTGAACCATAAGGTCCGAAGTTCACTCACCAGCTGCTCAATCAGAAACCCTAGAGTCGGAACCAACTGGACAGCACTTAACAAGAACAGCAACCTAACTCAAATACCGCCTCCTCTGTGACGCCTTTCCTGATTGTTCCTCTACACTTGGGTTACTCTGAAGCTAAACAATTTTTATACTAGTTGTTCAGTGTCTCAAGTTGGTTCCGACCCATAGCGAACCTGTATAGGGTTTCCTAGAAGCGACTGGTGAGTTTGAATCGTCAACCTTGCGGTTCAAACCGACTTTGCAGTCCGGCGCATTAATCCACATACTAGTAGGATAATCCAAACCACATTTGTACCAGAGTCCTGCTGTGGCGCTGTGGGCTAATGCACTGGTCTGCAAAGCCAGTTTAACCGCAAGGCTGACAGTTCAAGCCTACTAGCTGCTCCTCGGAAATTGTACATAGGGTGGCTATGAGTCAGAACCGGCTTTCAACAACACAACTTTTATACTAACCAGAAATTCACAGTATAGTCTTATGTAACATGTATAATTCCTCTTTGATGCCATGGGTTGATTCACATTTTTATATCCGTCACAATCCTGGTAGAGCATGCTGCCAACAGCAGGGAGCCAAGTGTTTACTATTTAACTAAAAGTGCATGTTTCTATATTGCTACTGCACTTTCCTTCCATATATATCCATACTAAATTTGTATTAGCAAAACCAGGCAGAAATAAGGTCTTTCCATTAATACAAACAACATTTATTTAATGAGACTATATGAGTCTTAAAGGAGCTCTGGTAGCGTAGTGGTTACGAATCGGGCTGCGTACCACAAGGTCAGCAGTTCGAAACTACCAGCTGTTCCGTGGGAGAAAGATGAGGCTTTCTGCTCCCGTAAAGATTTACAGACTCGGAAACCCTGTACCGGGTCACTCTGGGTCGGAATCAACTCGACGGCACTTAACAACAACAACATATGGAGTCAAAGAGCTCTGATAGCGTAGTGGTTACGAATTGGATTGCTAACCTCAAGGTCAGCAGTTCAAAACTGCCAGCTGTCCTCGAGAGAAAGATGAGGCTTTCTGCTCCTGTAAAGATTTACAGCATTGTAAACCCTGTAAAGGGTCTCTATGAGTTGGAACCGAATCTGCGGCACATAACCACCGCCATTTGGAGTCCTGGTGTTGCGCTCAGGGATAATGCACTGGATTGAAAGGTCCGTTTGAATTACAAGGTCTGTGGTTCAAATTCACCAGCCGCTCCTCGGAAACCCCACACAGGGTCGCTGAGTCTGAACCAAATGCACAGCATTTAACAACAACCGTGTTTAACAGTTGAACACTCACTATTTTTAGAATTATAACATGTTGATCATGAAATTGACCTATTGAAGGCATTGTCCGGTTGTGTTGTGGATGCAAACTTTCACCCAAAAGTCAGGGAATTCACCGCAAATGGAAAAGTAAACATTTTCTGACCCGTTTTAGGGTGTTGCTTGCAAGCAGGGAAACTGAGGGAGGTGTGAATAGTTAACAAGTCCAGGAACTTCATGCTAGGTTAAAAATAAACAAGAAGTTGCACAGAGTGACTACATTTTATTAAGAAGGCCCTCTTTCCCGGTTGGATGGCAGGCCGGTCATCTTCATCCCGCTACACATCACTGCGCCTTCCCAGGTTTGCAATCTCCCGCCAGACTGCGCCCCACGGTGCGAGTGCCGGGCTCAAGTCCGCTCCCCGAGACCCCGGCGGCCCCAGCCTGCGCGCCCTAAATGAATGAAAGGTCTCCCATTTCACTTCCATTTGAAGGATCCGGGCCTCGGGTTGCTCTTTTGCCCTGAGTCGGAACCGACTCGACGGCACTTAACAACAGATCTAAAGACCCCAGTGCCCAGGCGCCTTTCTTCCCTAACTCCGGACTCCGGCCTCATTTCAATCCGGACACTCGGAAACACGCCCTCTTCCAACACCCACAAGGCGCCCTTTTACCTACAAAAGGCTCTCGGGCCGCTCGATCGCCGTCAGAGTTAAGTCAACGTTACACTGCAGGCGCCCAGGCGCTGGCAGAGCAGAACCTCCGGAACAGGAAACCCAGGGATTTAATAGCAAGCCTGAGTAAGCTGGGACCAGGGAAGGAAACTCGGAGGCGCGCTGCAGAGCCTCGGGCACGGTGATTGGCGCATCAACAAGAGCGATGGGCATTTCAGCCAATCATTCACTTATAACCCTCCGGCGTCCGCCCCCTTCTATCCTCTTCGTCCTCCAATGTGGAACCGCAACCGGGTGAGCGCGCGTTTCCGCCGGGGACGGTGGAGGCTGTGGCTCGGGCTCTCGTGGGTCCTCGCTGCACGCCTCCGGCTTCCTGGCGCGCTGACGGCGCGGAAACATGAGCGACTTGGTGGGAGAGCGCTCCCGCCTTCGGCGTTACCCCGAGCTTCCGGTGTGGGTGGTGGAGGACCATCAGGAGGTGAGCGGGTGGCTTCCCGGGCCCTGCAGGCGGAGACAAGATCGTGGGGAAAGACATAAAGCCGCTGACTTCAGAATAGGACTTAACTTTTCTGAAGTGCTTCTGTAACCAAACACTGATGTAGGCGACATTCGAACCTGGCAAGTGGTAGCGCAGAGCCGGGTGTTCTCCACCCACAAATGAACGCTGACAAGTGGGGAATGCTGTCCCAGCCCTGCTGTTAGTGGTGGAGGCGCTATGCTAGGGGCAGGGGTGGAATCAATGCGATGGTCCAAACCCTGTGTCGACATTCCTCATCTGGGAAGCAGACAACAACCACACCATCCTGGAGCCATGAGCACGGTATTCCTGAGCCCTATAGGGTTGACACTGGGCTGGGAACCACAAAGTTCGCAGTTCAAACTCCCCAGCAGCTCCTCAGTACAAAGATGAGGCTTTCAGCTCCCATAAAGATTTACAGCCTCGAAACTTCTATGAGGGTCGGAATGGAATCGACGGCAATGGATTTGGTTTGGGCTATTGGTTGCATGCCTCTCTTAACACAGTGCCCGGTGAATATAAACATTGGAAAGATTAACTTACTGCTTTGCCACTTTAACTGCTACAGTGTCTAACTGTGGACTTCCGGAAGCTTGATTAGGGTGGCAGTGACTCTAAAAAGGTTTCCAAAGGCAGCATTAATAAATAGGCCTTGGCAGTTCTCTGGATATAAAGGATGAAGGGAGCCATATGATATATGGAATGACAGTGTCTGTGAACCTGAAAGAAGAAAGTGGGTTAGATACTTTGAAATTTCGTTTTCAACCTAGGAAACTAACGAGAATGTAAAACGAGACAGAACCTTAGAGATTACCTGACCACTGCCTACCATCCTGAAACCAAAACCAAAAGCCTACTGGCATTGAGATGAGTCCAACTCATAGTGACTCTAGAGGGAAACTGTTCCTCTGGGTTTCCAAGACTGTAAATCTCTAAGGAAGCCCACAGTCTCATCTTTCTCCAGAGTAGCCATTGGTGGGTTTGAACTGCCAGTCTTGTGGTAACCCTTAGCACCAGACTGCACCATTAGAACTCCTTCCCCACCATCCTAAAAGAAAAGGAAAAACTGAGTAGTTTGAAAATAGAGTTGACATCAGAACTGAGAATTAACTGGCAGTTTGTCCCCAAGCCTAAGTGCCTGGTGTATTTCCCAACATCTGTTGAGCATGAGGGGTGGCTGGGTGGCTGCTGGGGCTGTTCATTAAGTCTTCAGAGCAGGAAGTTGGGAGTGCTCAGAAAAAAATACAGCTTTAGATGTCCGAATCATCAATAGTAAACATATCTCTCTAACAATGGGCTCAAACATACCAGTTGTGAGGATGGTGCCGAATGGGCCTGTCGTCACGATGATTTGGAACCTACTCAATGGCACCTAACAACAACAGCAACATTCTAACAACGTGTTTGCTGTTTGTCCAACTGTGTCATTAATTATGTTTAGCTATTATTTTCAACCTGCCTTTGACTGTGTGTTCATGATTTCAGTTCCAGTTCTGAATGTGTGTGTATCTTTACAGGTTTTGCCTTTTATATACCGAGCCATTGGCTCCAAGCACCTTCCTGCTAGTGATATAAGTTTCGTACATTTTGATTCACATCCGGACCTCCTTATTCCTGTGAATATGCCAGCAGACACTGTGTTTGACAAGGAAGCACTCTTCGGGTAATAAGTGATGCTCACTAAATATCTTGGATGCATTGGCAGTGTTATTGATTGATATGTGCTATGTGTAGCTGCCACTGGGGAGGCCTCTGACTCCTGGTGACCCTGTGCACATGCAACAAAATGCTGCCTAATCCTGTGCCGGTTCAAGAATCAATTGTGGATCAACGATTGTGATCCACAGATTTTCCATTGACAGATTTTCAGAAGTAGATTACCAGACCTTTTTTTGTGGTCCATTGTAGTCAAAAGCTCCCCCTGAGACCTGATCGGTGTCTTAGCATCATGTAAGCTCCCACCACTGACACAGCTGGTGGCTGTACAGGAAG